CCTATAACTGAAGCTCCTTAAGCGGTACCATATGATCACCCGGCAGAAGCAGAAGTCCTGTCTTGCATTCAATCTCTGAAGACAGGGAAAACAGGACCGAACGGGCTTCCTTTTACTATTTTCAAGATGGAGGCGATATCCTCATAGGCTTTGCTAGCAATTTACCGCACAACATCTGGTCGTAGGCGCACATTCTACCATAACAGTTCTCATTTACATCAAGGAATATCGCAGCCACTGCGCAAGCCACCGCAGAATAGGTTCAATCCCAAACTGTTAGTCATCGTCATACTTCGATGTCTGACTCCTTTAAGAGAGACGAAAATCAGTGAACAGCGAACCGGATTCCGGTCCGGTCGTGATAAAATTTTACATTATGTGAGATCCTCGGGCTGTGTCACACCTACCGTCGACCGTGACCTAAAAGGAGCCTTCGACTCAGTTAACCGCGAAGCTCTAATGGGTTCAAGTTTTCCAACAGAAATGGCCCAGAAGTTTGTTAACTTAATGAGATCACTGAACTCATACTTCTGATTGAGTAGGGATCTACAATAAACTGCGTCGTTTGTTCGTCACCGACTGCGGTGCTCATCAAGGTTGCCCCATTTCGGCAATCTTGTTCAATTTGGTAGTAGATGAAATTCTGGAGAACGCACTAAGCGGTCTCAAAGATGTAATTATTGGATAGGTAACTGGAGAAAAGCTGTGACTTAGAGCACACTGGTGACATTGTTTGTCTGTTTGAGTGTATTAAGGACGCGCAAAGTACACTTGATAGACGAAAAAGCTGTTGTTCCTTTTATTATGCTCTTTGCACCTTCAGTGCAAAGTGATGCTGTAAGAGTGGGTGTCGCCTATTTCCACTTCGAAAATAAATGGTTAGGAACTGGGTATAGTGGATTGCCTCTACTAAATAGTTGCGTGACCAATGACGGTAACGCGGCAAAGGAGATAACCTCACGTATTGCCACGGCCCGAGTAGCGGACGCAGGACCGAACTACTTTCGGCGTAGATGTGACGTTTCGCCGAAGTTGAAGGGTCGTGTATATTGTACCGCCATTCGTACAGCTTTGCTTCATGACTGTGAGACCTTGAACTTACGAGTAGAAGGCATTCATCAGCTGGAGGTTTTTGGCTGTAGATGCTTACGTAGTTCGCGCTTATGTGATGGATTGTGGGGATAGTAAATTATAATTAAACCATCGTATGTCTGG